AAGTCTAATATTAGCTTGCCTATGTAAACTATCAAAAAAACCAAGTCAAAAAAAAACTAAACTCTAAATTTACTACAAGTTTTCAAGAGGAACAAATTATGAATCTTCTATTATTTGTTACAAATGAACTTATTAATAATTACAAAAATTTAATAATTAAATTTAATAATCTTATCAATATTCCTTAATAGGTATTCATAGCTGCTTGGCATTATCTTATATATGTAATGGTTTTAATATTTATTTTTCTTACCATTTAGATAGTTTACATAGGCAAGCTAATATTAGACTTATTAACTTAGCAAGTTATATAAAAAATATTGTTACTTTTTTCATGTATAAATTTCAAACAATTTTACAATTAATAAAATGATAATGTTTATCTACAAAAAAAAATTAATAATAATAGATATAATTGTTAATTAAAAAAAGAAATTTTAAATTAATTCCAATATTTTAAAATTATATTTTGTTATTTTATTACTAAAATTATTTTATTGAAATTATAAAAACTAATTATAAATTTTTTCTTAACTATTGTATTATTATTTTATTGATAAATCTATTCAAAATGCAAAATAATCTATATTTTTCATTTAATTTCACTAAAATTTGCTTTTATAATAATCTTCATTTTAGAATATATTTTATATTACTAATCTATATTTAATATTTATAATTTTGAAAATGTTGTAATTTTTTTTAATTATTTTTATTAAGGCACTGCTGTTGACTATACTATATATTAAAAACATCGTTGTTTTTCAAGTAGTCTCTGAATTCATGAAAATATCTTCCTTATTAAAAAGAAGTGAAATATGTTGTACTTGTGATATATAGTCGTTTTATTTTGTTTTTAAAATAATTCCAAGATTTTTCAGTAATACACTTATACTGTAATGGGAATTAAACATTTTCAAAGATAATATTAGGAGATAACACGTACGAATAAATAGAGTGGATATTTTGGAACCGCACTGTAAAACAGAAAACATCCTTGGAAAGCTGGAGGAGCAAGTCAATGTGTATTGAAAGAATATTATTAGAAATGACGCAACTCAGAAGAGAATGAAGCAACAGTATCAAAAACGGATCATCTCAGAAATTTACAAGTGGCAATTGGGTAGGATTGCTCGATTATAACATGGATATGTTTCCTTGAAGTGTTTCTTCATTATCCAACGGTCTTGACAAAAAGCTTGCGTTGCAAAGTTTCCCTTAATAATATTTTTAGGTGATCAGTCTGATATGCAATGCATTGACATTAAATAACAAATATTGATATATTTTTTGTTACATATTGCATATAACCATTTACAAATAATTTTATCCGCTTAAAATAATTTAAATCGGCCTTATAATTTGTAAATTTTTATAGAAATAATTATTATTATACTTTTAAAAAAACGGCTACATAGAGTTAAGCGAATGCGTATACATTTTTAAAACGCTTGCATTATCATCAGAATGTACATTCTTTTACAAGAAATCTCTTAATTTCATCTTTGTTCTTACGGCCTTGGAAGTACCTTCGTGATAAGTATACCAAACCTTTGGTATAGCAAGAATTTCTAATTTGGGAGGAACCATTACTATCTTGTTACAATTACGTAGAGATATTTATCACGGAATGTTTCTTACTTGAACTAGCTTTTATTTCACTTTCAACCTTTGGCCTGCCAAAGAAATCTAGCAGAGGCTGTTAAATATTTGACAAACGAACAAGATTAGAATTTCATTCACTCTAAAGTAAACAAATCTAATTAATTAATATAATCACCTTTTTAATATCCTTTTCTTTTTGTGATACTTTCAAATCCACATGAAAGTCATATTCACTCATATTACTGTCAAATTTCGATAATGTTTAGAACAATACTTTCAATTAGAAGTAGTAAACTATAAGTTACATACAAGCTCCTCTTCTTATTATGATCTATTCGCTTTTTGGAAAGAGCGTCTTCTAACCTTACTTCAATCTATCCAAATAAAAATATAATAGATCATATTAATTATATTTATGAAGTAAAATTAGACTAAAGAACTCTAAATGTACTTCTTTTGCTATCAATTGCTTGGACTTCTCATGACTCGGTAAATTACCCATTGATGTATTATTCGAAAACAAGATGAGGCTGTCTATTGGTCTAAAAAGCGGCGAATTAACTATGCCAAATCGATTTTTTTTTTAATGCTTCATTAAGAAATGAATATTCTCTTACGGTTCAATTTTGAAAAAAAGTTTCCCATTTTCCATTCTCTGAGTAAACTTCAAGTTGAAGAGAAGCATAATATCTACTACTCGCGAAAGTTTTGTGTTTGACAATAATGCAGATTGTATATTTTCTTGTTCCTGTTTAAAAGAAAAAAATATATTTTAATGAAACGCGAAAAATTATAAGTCTTAACAAAAAATTTTTGATATACCATTTCTAATTTTAAGTTAACAATTCTCATCAAGTGTGAAATCATTTCAGTTGAGGTTTTAATTTTGTTCATGTTTATCCGGCAGTTTAGTGGAGTTCCTTTTAGGAAAGATGTGATTAATTCTTCATTTGCCTGTTTTTGAACGTAACTCTTTTTTTAGAGAAAAAATAAAGAATAAAAAGGTCAGAAAATAAAGAAGCGTAGAGATCAATTTGCTGTATTGTTCCTAACCTCATAGTCCTTTCTTGGATATTCGATACGCGGAAGGATGCTACCCGCGAAAAATCGATAGAAGCTAATAAGGGGATATGGACTGTAACCAGATAGTTCAAACAATTGTTGTGAATTAGAAAGATAGTTAATTTGGTCATAAAAATGCATCCATTCAGTGCTTTGAAAAAGTTTATATTTTGAATCATGAAAATTCAATCTAAGAAAATTTTCAAAGCATCCTATAAATTTAATTTTTAAGTTAGTAACTTTTCCATTAGTCAATGTATATATATATATAGACGCCTTGCCTTGTAAAATCTTCTCATATTCACCGTTGATATTTAGTATGGATTCCAGGTAACTAACGTATCGATTCACGTCATTTTCTAAATTCGCATTAAATTAACGATATGGTATGGTCGATAGAAGACAGAGTTAGTGTGCAAGTATCAAGTTACCATGTTCTCCTGAATTTTGTAATGTATGGTTTTTTCCGCTAGATTTCATTCTGGCATCTCTCAGTTGAAATATTTCACCCCATATTTCGAACAAAGGCTTATTAATGTCTTTTTTCACAGTGTTTGATCGTATTATCGAATCTTTTGTCACTGACTTAAAGTTTTCCTTAATAAACTAAAAAAAGTAAAGAAATAGAAATTCAATAAAAAGAAATTTATATGAAAAGAAATTATTGATTCCAATGTTTAATAATTAAAACCTGCAGGGCATTCAAACAACTTCTCATGTCCCCTTCAGTTAATTCCACCAAGAAAATTAAAGCCGACATCTCAGTCAATAGTTCTTCTTGTTCACAAATCCTCTTTAATCTTTTTGCGAGTTTGACAGTTTGCGTTTTTTTTAATTGTACTATTTTTGCATAAAATCTGAGAGGACGCAACACGGGTGCATACCTAATTGTTTAAGATTGATAAGTATATCGTCCGAATTCAGAAATGAACAAATAAAACCGAAAACTCAAAACTTACTGATCGTTACAAATACAGATGATAGGTCGACGAAGTGTTTTCTTAACCTTTTGTTTTTGTTTTTTACCTATAGGCATAAGTAATCCTATAATTTAATATTATTCTGACGGATACGTGGAATGCACGAACGTTGATTTTACCAGTTGTAATATCCTTTCCAGTAGAATTTGCATCCAGCGATGGTTGTTTCTCCACGTCAATCAGATCGATGAGTAATTTGATGAAGTTCTAAAAATAAAATCCAAAAAGAAATCGCGAAATGTTAATAGACAACAGAAATTACAATACTAAACACGCGATGATCAACTACCTCTTCCCCAGCGCCGGAAACTCCGTCTACTTCATCAATAATAACTAATGAAGGTTTCTTTTTTTGATCGACAGTATTGGATTCCAAAGAATTTGTGACTTTGTTCTTGATAACTTGACCTGTCCGATCATCACTACACAATGCACAATGTTATTATTATTATTATTTTTTTTTTTTGAAAAATGAAATCCATAAAATTACCTGGCGTTGACTTCTATTACATTATAGCCACAATGACGCGCTACAACATGCGCCAAAGTGGTCTTTCCATATCCGGGTGGTCCAGTCAACAGTAAAATCTGAAATGAAAATTAATCAGGGTGAAAATTAGGACTCTTCACTTCATCTTTATGCTTACCTTTTTCTCTGGTCGATCCCACTTGTCTAGTTGCTAACGATTAAAAAAAAAAAAAATTTAAAAAGAAATTTCCATTAAAAGCAATATCAATACACGTATTACATTATTACCTGTTTATTTTTGCCGTCAACTTCGCTATGATAATTTTTTTTACCAAATGTACAAAATCTCCATTGGTTTACCCATTTTAATACATCTCTGTTGACGCTCTACAAGGATTGATAATTTCCACCAATAATCAGCACCTTAAATATGTTAAACTAACTATAAAATTTTTGTCTCCATGCCTCATCACCAACTAAATCTGTATAATGTTTCGGTCGGTATTTATCCACCCACGATTTTGATTTGGTGTCCGAAACAACTGCTGGACGAATATTCGTTTTCATTTCTCTTATGGATCTACTTAATATAAAACCCAGTATTATTGTAATTTTCTCATGTCGTGTTATATTATCGGTTATATACAATTACCTAGGGACCTGTGTTTTTTCGCGTTCTATTTCATCCATCATTTGATATATTGATTTTTCCACCAATGACTTTCGCTTAAAGGTATAATTTTGCAATACCTTTTTAGGTTGAAAACCAAAAGTAAATTACCTGAAAAGAAAAAAAAGAAAACTCAAATAAGGAATGTCAATTATGTTGCTACTTACCGGCCTAATTTGCCTTTCAGAGAATCGTAATTGTCGACCGGATGATAATATAGCAGAAAGGGTATTCCGAGAACGCGTGTAATCTCCACCGTATAATAATTCGTCGGTGTCTACATTTTCCAAATTATTTTCCCTATGAGATGAAGACACATCTTCACCTCTTTGCCTTTCTATTTTTTAATTAAGATTTTTATTAGAACATCAGTAACTCGAGCGTTCTGAGAAATATCTCTTTTAAATAAACCTCGTTCATTTTGAGTATCATCGCAAACATCCCGTAAATCAACGTTTTCCTCGAGAGGCGGGCCAATTATGCAATCCCTTTTTTCAAATTCTCTGGTCATCGTGGAGGTACTTGATTCTGCAATATTCTCCCTCTCGGTCATTTGTTGAAATTCCCATTCTTGACTTATAAGAAGATCAAGCGAATCATTTTCTACTGAGTCATAAACCGCCGAAGCTGTATACTCGCCATCCAAGAAACCATTGGTTATAATTTGTTCAGTTGTCGCTACAGGGTTTCCTAACGTCTGGTCTTCAGAAAACATCGTGTCGAAAATGTCATCTCATAACGATAGGCGCGTATATATACGCGTGCAAGATAACCAATTGTCCAATCAAGATGCTGATCTCTAACAGCATGTGACAAAAAATTTCGTTAGTTTTTTATTTAATATACGTAATTTTTTTTATTAATTCTATTTTTTAAATAATAACATCATTCTTATCAAAACTTAAAATTTTTTAATTTAAGTTAATTAAATGTATGTTTCATTATTTTTTTAATAAAATATTCACAATTTTTTGAATATTTAAAATCACCAATACATTAAAATATTCATATACGGTTAAATCAAATCAAAAAAAAAATAAAAAATTCGCACTAAAATTAAAAATCAATATTTTTATTCTATAATATGAATAAAAAATAAAATAAATTGAAGATTTTTTTATCACTATATGTACTGTATATACCAATTTTAATAATTTAATATTTAAGATTATTTCGAATTCGAGTAAATACATATTGTTTTTTTCAATATTCGAAAGAACCCGTAAAACTAATAATAATAATATTATTATTATTTTAAAAAAAATCTACTTACATTATTTCCTAAAATGGAAACTTACTTAATTTATCTCTCATCTCTCCAATTACAGTAAATACAGTATAATTAACAAACTAAAAAATAAAGTTGCATACAGTAGACAGTATAGATACTACAGACTACTGTGGTAGCTTTTTAATAACCAAAAACAAAAACTTTTTTGAAAAGTCAAGATTTTTAATGGCAATTCGTTGTCGAATTTCTAAATTAACTATGTATACGTATACTGTATGCGTAATCGGAATAAGAATTCCGTGCCATACTGTATTCTAAATCGAAACAAGATGTTCATTGTCAAAGAATTATTTAAAATCACAGAAACGTTAGTCATTTAATCTCGAAATATTTAATAAAATATAATATGGATGTAGAAGATTTACATAACAAATGCAGCGAGTGCAATGACAAAAAACTCCTTGGATATGGCAATTTGTGTGCTGATTGTTATTCTGCATTATTTAAGTCTGTTAACAGCGGGAATTTAGAGATCAACAATTTAATTAAAGAAACACAGAGAAATAGTATTCAATTTAGATTAGAATGGATCCCATTTCAAAATTTTACGGATATCCAGAAAATTGCAGAAGGAGGATATAGTACTATATTCACTGCTACATGGATGAAAGGAAGAGTTACGAGTTATGGAGGAATACTTAGTCGGGAAGGTCCCATGACAATTGTATTAAAAGTTCTTAAAGATTCTCAAAATATAAATTCGGCGTTTATAAAAGAGGTTGTTCAATTCGTATCAATAAATTATTAAAATACGTTAATTCTCTCTATAGTTATGTAATATTGTTAAAAAGCAACAAGACTCCTCTAAGCATTATCTTGTTCAATGTTATGGAGTCTCACAAGATCCAATAACAAAAAATTATATATTTATAATGCCTTATATGAAAAATGGGAGTTTGCATAAATATTTATCCGAGCATTTTAATGACATCAAATGGATAGACTTGGAAGAAAGTAAAAAAACAAAAGTAAATCTCCTGCGAAACCTCGTTATTGGAATTAAATGGATTCATCAAAATAAGATTATACACCGAGACATACACAGTGGAAATATATTAATACATGATAATGAAGATTCATTGATTGCAGATTTGGGATTTAGTCGACCCGCGAATGAGGATCCAGGATTATTTGCATACGGAGTCATGCCATACATCGCACCTGAGATATTTAATAAAAACCAATTTTCATATAGTTCCGATATCTACAGTTTAGGCATGATTATGTGGGAGTTAACAACTGGAAACCGTCCTTTTAGTAATCGAACGTATGATACCTATCTTGCGTTGGATATATGTAGAGGACTACGTCCTAAAATTACAGAAGATACACCAGAATTGTGGGCTAGTTTAATGGAGAAGTGTTGGCTTCAAGATCCTTTACAGAGGCCTTCAATTAATGAAATACATCAGATAATTAATTCTTTAGAATGGGAATTCGATGCATTCTACGATGCAGAAAGAAAACTAAAAGAGAGAAAATCCTTGAAATTTGTGGAGAAACAAAGAACTGTGTATCCATTTAGGCAGTTATTCGATCCTATCATAGGAAACACAAGCTCTACTTTAAATTCATTTACAGGAGCAGGTAATTATAATTTTTTTATAAACGAATTTAACTAACACTTACTTACAATGTCTTTGTGTAAAAAATTGTTTTTTATGGATTCTTTGATATTATGAAAGACACGTGAGTAGCCATTTTATTTTGAAAAACTAAGAATTAAAAAGCTAAAGTATATTAATCCAGCATTTTATCCAATTCCGAACTTATAAAAAGCACTGATTGCTGGAATAATAATAATGATTTATCGACTTCAGTAAAACCCACTATTGATTTGATGTTAGATGAACAAACTAGTAAGTTTAAATTTGAATCCTGTTAAATAATTTTTTTAATTAAACTTATATATAATATCACATATAATAGGCCAAATAAAACGCAGAAAATTGGTTGATCATAATGAATTCATATATTATGGTAACGTATTTTACATTATATTTAAAAATCCGTAAAAAGTTACTCAATATTTAAACTTTTTACATTATTAGATAAAACGGCATCGTATTCACCTAAATTACATAAAGTTATGTCAAGTAATGATGGGGAGGCGTGGGCCGAATATCTATGCGGAAATGTTTCTATAACTGAGTTAAAAATAAGCAATAAAGGTCTACGCGATAATGTAATCAGAGGATTGGTTGTAGGTTTATGCAATAACATCACCCTAACCAATTTAGATATAAGTAGTAATATAATGAGAGAATCAGGAGGAAAAGCACTGGCCATAGCATTATACAAAAATACCACCCTGAATAATTTAAACATTAGTAATAATTTGATAGGAGAATCAGCAGGAATAGCACTGGCCAAGGCATTATGCAAGAATACCACCCTGACTAATTTGGCTTTGGCTTCTAATAGAATAGGTGAATCGGTAGGAAAAGTACTGGCCGAGGCACTATGCAAGAATAACACCCTGACTAATTTGGATTTGGCTTCTAATAGAATAGGAGATTCGACAGGAATGGCACTGGCCAAGGCGCTATGCAATAATACCGTCCTGACTTGTTTGAATTTGTCTGGTAACTATTTAGGAGAATTGGCAGGAATAGCACTGGCCGAAGCACTATGCAAGAATACCACCCTGACTAATTTAAATATTAGTGATAATTGGATAGCAAGATCGACAGGAATAGCACTGGCCAAGGCATTATGCAAGAACACCACCCTGATTAATTTAAATTTGAAGGACAATGAATTGGGAGAATCGGCAAGAAAAGCACTTGCTGAAGCACTATGCAATAATACCACTCTAAAATGTTTGAATATGGAAGGGAATTCAATTTGGGCATCGAAAAAAAAATTATTGGCTGAGACACTATTCTTGACAGACTCATCACTATGAATTTGGGATACGGGTTACTCCACAGAATAACATGAAAAAATTATTGAAGTACGCGGGTTTATTTTTAAACAGGATTTTGCATTCGAAATTTTTGTTGATGTTAATCCCAAATCAATCCATCTACTTACTATATATATCGTATATTCGCATAGTTACCTTTTTAATATAAGAATAAAAAATTTTTTAATTTATTGTATAATATTTTTATATGCCTAATTAAATTAACAATTTGAAAGTACATATATAATACAATATTATACAGTACATAATAAAATTTTTTGTATTTTTTTTTAACAATTATAAATTAAACGTGAATATACTATATGATGCAAAAAAAAAGGTGATAATTATATTTTTATTTATAATTAATAATTTTTGTAAATTTATAAACATAATCAAATAACTTATAACCAACTTTATTCGATACTGTTTTGGTTAATATATAAAAATATTATACATGCAGTATATATAGTATGGTTCATGATTTTTTTAATTTTTTTAATTTATATTTTACTTATAATTAAATAAAAAACTTATTACAGTTTTATAAAATTTTATTTAATTGTTTTTTAAAACTCAAGAATAAAATGATATAAATAATATTTAAAAATATTTGTTTTTTAAAATTTTAGATAATGCAATGCATAAAAATTAAAAAAAAGTTTTTTTAAACTATTATAACAAACAATTATATTTATAAAAAATTTTATCAAGTTATTTTATATTTAAAAGCTTAAACAAAATTTTTTTAAAAACCTCAAAGAAAATAATTTTTAACTTTTATATTTATAAAATATTTTATAAAAAAGCTTATGCAAATTTTTTGTTAAGTTATAAACAAATAATTTATAAAATTTTATATAGAATAAATAATTTTTCATTATACTGTATAATAAACAAAAATAATTTTTAAAATTTTATAATATTTAAATAAAATTATAATATAAAATTAATTTTAAAAAATTATAAAACATATAATATAGTATCTTATCAGATAATAGTTTGATAACTCTCAAGTTTTTCCTAATTGATAATAATATTCTTTCAACAATTATTTATTAGTTTTATTAAATATTTTTTTTATTAGATTTTTCAAATTTTTAATTATTAAAGAAATACTTCTCAAACTAAAGTTTGATTTTATACTTTTTTTAAATTACAGTAGTAACAATCTCAATACAAATTATATTTTAATATCTTCAAACTATATTAATCAAAATAACATACCTTTAATTAATTCCAATATTATTAACAATATCAAAAATTTAATTACTTTCACAACTATCAACATTAAAGATCTTAATAATTCAATCAAACTCAAAGTCCTAACTAAAATAATAAATAGCAAATCCGTTTTAATATATAAAAAAACCAAACTCAAGAAAAAAAATCATTATTCAAATAATATTAATAAAAAATTAATTATTTATAACAAGTTAAACTTTATAAAAAATAATACCATACTAATTATTAACAAAAATCTCTTGTCATATATTTTCAAAATATATAATGTTTTCAAATATTGTTTATCAATTGCATTAAAATTCAAAAGAAAAAAAATATACTTTTAACAATAGTTTATTTTCTATATAAAAAAAAGAAAAAAGATTCAGTTTTTAAATACTTATACCTAGCAATTAAACTTATTATATATCATAAACTTCATTATATAATTTTAGGAAATTTTAATTTCTATTCTAAAAACAGTCTATCTATTAAAATCAAAATTACTTAATATAAATAATTAACTTACAAATATTTTAACAACTACATTGATATTGAATAATAATATAATAAAAAGTATTTATACTATAGAAGTAAAATGACAAGTTAGTTGCTAGCTTATAATGAAATTTGTAAAACAGTGATATTGGATTTATTTAATGATACAGCTTTTGTTAAGGTGTTAGATTTGATCAAGATAAGTGTCTTCTTTATTAAAAAGTAATTTGGAATCTGTTATATTTACTAATTTTTATCTACTAATTTATATCTTTTTCTCAAGAACAAAATAGAAAAAAATCGAAAAAATAAGAAAAGATAAGAAATTTTAATACTTTCTTTTGATAATTACATAAGTCAGCCACTAATTATATTATTATTATCTATATTTTCAGGTTACTATAATTTTTATTCTGTTGATGTGATATTGAATTGATCATTTCACTAGTCCAAATTGGGTTATTCGGCTGCCAAATTACAGCCGATTAAATCCAAATTTATTAATAAAAGTTTATACTG